AGCATCTTAAATTTAGTAGTTACGATTATTAGTTTGAGGATGAGTAGGATGATCGTTAATTATATTCAGTAGATCTTACTGGATTTTGCTTAATAGATCAACTGAAATGGTATTCTAACGCACAATTTTAAGTTGGAAATTTGTAATTTCATCGTTTTAACATAATAGCATAGCTGCCAACCTTAGGAATCAAAAATTAGGAACACTATATGCGACAAAATAATGCGCAAAAATTACGAGACTAAGACCAAAATTTAACTATTGAATAATAACATTAATAGACATATATTTAAATACCGTATGTAAATTAGTAAAACAAAACTAGAAACACTATCTTTTGTGGGAAATTAATAATATTAATATTTTATAATTAGGAATACCGGTATAATAATTTAAAAACAACCATTACCTATTAATATATAATTATTCTTCTCAAAATTTTAAAACACAGGTAAATAATAATCTCATACCTGTCAACTTTCACTCTTTCTGAGAATGAATTTTCCAAGTGGTAGTAAAACAATTACCGAAAAACAGCCTTACTCAAAAATATATTTATATTTTGACTAGGTTAAAATTCGCTATCGTTCTGAATAGTATGCTTTATATATTTGTTGTAATTATTTAAACGTAGTGGTGGTCAAACTCATTTATAATTATTATTATAATTCAAACATTTTAATGACATGACATGAGTTTCGGTACCACTTTAAATATAAAATTAAAATCTTCCGGAAAAACCGGAAGAGTTGGCAGGTATGTAAATTACATCATGAACAAATAATTCTGATGCAAGTGTTAAAATACTACAATTAATTTTTAAAAAAATAATAATAGTTGTTAAAGATTCATCTTAGTGATCGGCAACAGCTATTGGAATAGTATTTCTAATAAAAAGCTACTAAAAATTACTTCAGCACAATAAACATAGGAAGCGTGGTTGGCTTAAAAGCAAATATACTGCAATTTTATGAAAAATCAGATTTTTTATGAAAATATCAGATTTTCAAATTTGATTTAAAAATTGCGAACAAATCCAAAAAATTCAGAACAGTTGGCAGCTATGTAATAGGTTACTCTGTTTACATTTCAAAATAAATATGTATCTATATATACTACAGCTAAAATTGTTTTGGGGAACAAATAAATAAATATTTCATTCTAAATTTTGATACTTAAATAAAAAAAATGTATATATAGGTTCCTAAAAACAGCACAGTATGAAGAAGTTAAACACTCGCCTAAATCAGTGCAATATTAGAAAGAGAGCAATGTTGGAAGATTTTGAAGCATGCATAAAGATTTCTTACAAATCAAATTTTCTAATTTTATTATTCAACGATTTCTAATTCACTCACGAAAAAATAAGATGCAATATAAATTTTCTTAAGCTTTCAAACATATATACAGCAATCGTTTTTTTAAAGGATGTAATTTTATGAGGCAAAATTCAAAATTTGGACGAAATCAATTGAACAGTTTAAACATAAAGATTTTTTTTAAAATTTGTGAACTCAGAAACTATTAGATAGATTGCGTTTAAGTTTTGTATTTTGCCATATAAAATTACATTCTTTGAAATGATGTAAAAATTTGTTCACCTAACATTTCAAAATTTTGTCAACTGTTATTAAATAAAATAATAAATATTAATTAAAAAAATTTGCATGGCATGATCTTTCAATTAACGAATTTTATGATTTTGTGCAAATGTTTTTCGATTCGTTTAAAAAAATATCGAGAAGTGGCGAAATACGCAAAAGGTAATATTAACATTAAGTTGCCCAAATTTTCGACCGCTCCCTTAACCAAACTATTGGAACCATATTTCGCAGATTGCAACTTTGAAACAATGGGAGGGGGGGGGGGCTCTATTTCGTTGGTCAAGAATCAAAAGCCGTCGAAAATAAGGAATAAATAAGATTTATTCAGAGAAGTGCGTTGGAGTGTCTGATTTCGTAATTTTAAATATCATTTGTACTAATTAATCATATTTAACACGTTCACGCCGGGAAAAGTGAAAATACTGGTAGAAGTACTATTTCAGTACTGGGCAATTCCACAAAAGTGTCAACTTATAAGTGAATTTTTTTTTTTTTGAATTGCATATTTTAATTTTAAAAATATGTTCAAAAATAGCCAAAGTCTACATATTGCCGTTTCATTTTTGATAATTTTAAATTTTTTGAATCTGGCAGCATTCTAAAGTAATCACATGGCTGACAAGTGAATTGTTCACATTTGTGTTGAAATTGTTTTCTTGAAAAATACTTACAAAATAAAAGAAATGTATCTTTCTTTTGCAATATTTTGATAAAAATATGCATGTAGTACAAAATTTAAACATTTAAAACATTATCATTTTAAGTTTAATGTATAAAAGCAACTTCTTTTACGTCATTCCGTCACATGTCTTAATAATGCATAAATTTCCTGAGAACGAAGATAAGACGTGACATTGGCAAGTTAGATATAAAACCTCTTCGGAGACAACCTAATTTTCAAACTGTTGAAATTTTTACTAATTCTTACATATATATTAATCCTGTTTATCTGTTACATTCTGTTTATCATTTACATATTAATAAAACATTTTTTAAATGAAGACTTTCTTCTACTAAACTTTTTGTCATTCCGTCACAGCAAATAGATGTTAATAACTGCTAGCCAACCTGAGGTTAATTTTCCAAATTCACATTTTACATTGCTTACACATTATACTAAAAGTATAAAATAGTTCAGAAAAATAATAGCTGCAAAATTCGCAGAAACAACCAGTTCTAAGCGGCATGCCAAAAACTTGGTTGCCAAAATGTCATTCCGTCACGCAAATAGAAAGTTCGTAAAATTAAAAGTAAAAAAGATAGAAAATCCTGTTTTTTTAGTTTATAAAGCGTATTATGCCAATAATAATGATATGCATGAGAAAAAAATGTTTATTTGAAATTAGATACATAGAAACTTGAATTAATTGTTATTTTGCAAGTCAAAATGTCATTCCGTCACAAATGGAATTGCCCTATTAGATAATATTCGGGAGGAGTTAATCTAGTCTCAACAATAACAATTCACTGTAAGGAAATTTATCACAGCGAAGAAGCAATTCAATATAAAAATTGCATCCGTTAAAAACAATTGGTAGTTGTGGATTTTTATTATTCCCGGAAAAAAACTAAAAAAATGAAATTTATTGTTACCAGTTTTAACTCCGGTGCGCTGCAAAGATGAGACAATCTAGCGTGACCCACCGGTGGGTCACCCCGGCGTGAACGTGTTAAGGTGATGCTCAAAAGCCATTAAGTCTGAAACTCAATGGATGAAATTCCGCTCATAAGTTATTCAGAGTGTATCGTTTATTATTATTATTATTATTATTTCTTTGTGCGCGCACTGTACATGATTTAAAGCTCGCCAAATTGTTCCCAGTTTATTAAGCTCTTTGTTTTAAGTATTGTTTTAGTAGTCTCTCAAAATATGTTTTCTTTTTTTCTATCAATCAATAGTTTTATGATAAATTACAAAGCCGATCTAGCTCATATATTATATGAACTGTTTTCCTGTGAACAAAAGGCTTTTCTTTCTTTCTTCTTTTTTGAGACTTTTATTTTACTATCACTTTTTGAATTTCGTAAATAATTGTCTATACAGTAACTAGTTTTTGTAATTGTAATATGCATATTTTTATTATTATTTACTACTATATATTTTATTAAATATTTTTTTAAGTTTTCATCTAAAAGATAAACTGTCTAACGAAGTCTATCACGAATTTAAACTGTTTTAAACTTCTTGTTATGAAATTTTAAGTTTAATATGTTCTTTGTGATTCTGACAAGATGGAGCCATTTTTTTTTACTATTTTTCGTCTCAAAATCATAAATAATGTAACGATTCTTGAATTAATAATTAAATTCTAAGAAAATGGTCGGTTGTAAGAGTAATAATAATTTTACTAACAATTACAGGTTATTTTCTTTATTATATACATACTTTACTATTACCTCATTATTTGTATTCTTTATTACTGTATTATTATTTGAACTTTAATTGAATTAAAAATTATCATTAACTAAAAATTACCTCAGAGTCTAGGAAAAAATATTGTAATTTCTGATATTAGAAACTTACCTGTGCCAAACATTTTTCCAAGTGATATTTTTGTAATGTAATTTGTTGGATGTTTTATTTACATGTTACCCCACATAAATGCTGTTTTTACATTTTTGTATAGAAATTTGTATTATTTTCATTTGACAATTAAACATTCCTAAATATTATTCACCCATGTGTTTTTTCTTTAATGCAGTTTTTTATAGTGTTACATTTTATAATATTATAAATTATATTATTGATATTTCTTGTCTTCAATTAAGAATGTGCATAATTGAAAAACGCAGAGAGAAAGGTTAACTTTGTGCGGGTGTAAAAATTGGAAAAATCTTTTAGCCACTTTACTGGCGTAGATAATAGAAGAATAGTGTTTTCTAACCTTCTCCATGGTTTCTAATAATGCACTGGATAAAACATGAGTCCGGCAGTGGACTGATCGTAAAGACAGGATTCCCAGTCGAATTCTTAAGTCAAGCATCACTGACTACGGTCAGTAAGAAGGTAGGTGACCACTTTTAATAGTCTACGAAGGTACCGGGGGTGTGAGGTATAGATCCCCATTCTACTGTTCTACTGTAAAGTGCTTGACTTCGTGCGCAAGTCGCTGGACTACTAAAGAGGGGGTGCCATCTTCTCAACGGAGGATTAAAATCGTGATGGCATGTCTGCGGATCATAATCAGGGATGTCCTCCAGACCTTCGCCAACAGCCCATTGTGCAGCCCTAGCGTGACGTAAGTAAACACCTACAGCTACTCTATGAAACATAACAGGATTAACCGAAAATAAAATTAAATGTGGTTCGTATTCAAAAGTTATTTATTTTTCAAACACTTAAACACACTTTTGATTAAACATTAAAAATTGTCGTTAATTTCTACTTTAATTAAAGTAGTTTTAGATATTGAACATGTGGGAATATAATTGACACATTTATTTTTTTAAACAATTATACATGAACAGATAAACTTGCATTTGCTTAATGAATCTCAAAACAGTAAATACAAAATTATGTGACTAGTTAAATAGACGATGTAACATAAATTACAGAGAACTAAGTATATAAAATTGTCCCAAAACTTAAAATTATTTTTTGAGTTTTTTTTGTTGAAGATATTTTATGTATTAAACTTTATATAAAAATATAAAAGGGAGGTTGGGGAACAATAATAATTTATGAAAACACGGACATAATCAAGCGCTGAGTGTGAGCTTCCAACTTCGTCAGGGGCGGTCTCAATGTCATACATTTGTATAGCCAAACATGTCATATATGTGAATAACGGCCAACTTTTGCGTAAAATTTCAATTTCATACTTAAACTATTGCAAAATTTATGCTTTCTATTTATTTCTTGAGTTTATAAATTTAATTTAAAAGTATTTTGGTTACCGCTGCATATAAAAGTAAAATAATCATACGAGGAGGTGTTGGTATTCAAGCAAAGTGCATGAAATATGTTAAAAGCAACCCCACTGCCAGCTATTTACTTTGTCCAACCTAAAACAGTGTTAAAATTCCATGATGAAAGGGATAGAGGCAGCTTCGCAGCACAGGTGACCAGAAAAAACAAAATACTCGGACTAGGAGGAGTAGAAGCTGTTACGAACAAATAAATATATTTCAGCAAATGACTTTAGTTTAATTTTAATTTTACTATCACTTGGAAAATCCTCCTCAAAAAGATAAAAAATTGGCATCATCTATTCCAAAAAGTGCAATTTGAAATAAAATTTATAAAGTTGGTCAGTTACATACATAGCACTCTGTTTACTGTGTTTTAAAGCGTTTAACATGACATTTCGTATCCTGGTCTTATAACTGTGATTTTGAGTCAGTGTGCCGCGTGATGTTAACGTATTTTCGAGATTACTAACTATGTTCTTAACCATCCCTCTAAGATATGAAATTTCAAGACACACTGTGCATATATCTGAAGTAAGACATTAAGTCTTTTTGAAATTAAAAAAAAAACATTAAAGCATTCTTTTCGCAAAATACTATTACAAAATTCAATGAATAAGCATTATTCTTTATATCTTGTTTGAGTCAAAACATCAGGTAAAACTGTTAATTTTTCACCCGTTTTAAAAACAGTATAATCTCAAATAACCACTTGGAAAAGGAACAGTTTGAAGTTTAATCTCATATAATAGGACCAGGACACGTCCAGCCTCCAAATTCTCTCTCGATTTCTCTAGCAATCGCTAAATTCAGATAGTCATTTCTCAAACCACTTATGACTTGCACACCAACCGGCATCCCCTTTTCATCCAGCTCAACAGGACAGTTAGTAGCGGGTAAGCCAAGAATATTGAAGACTGCCACATAACCACAGTTCTGAGCTCTGAACGTGTTGGCATAGTGGTGAGCAGCAGGCTCAGGCATAGTTGGCATGATGAAAATGCAATCATCTTGAAGCAGTCTCTGAAAGTCTGTTTCCATTCGTCTCTGAATGCGAATGAAAGGTTCGGCAACTGATTTTTCTTTTGGCCCAAGATATTTCTCTACCAATACTGTTGCTAATATAGGAAAGGAATAGTCGGACCATCCAAACAGACTGAAGATGAATTCTTTCCAAACGCTGCTGTTGCAATCTTCGCCGAATACTCGAGATTCTACTGTTGCTACATCCACAACTCCTGCGGAGACGGCGTGAGCCCAAACTTTGAAACCATGCTTGAGACCACGTATGTTGACCTTCTGAGGTGGCACATCACAGATCTTTCGAAAGTGAGAAATAACCTAAAACAATTTATGAATATTTTTTTATGTTAAAATAGAGTAAACAGAATATTATACAAAGTAAATTACAGTAAAATGAAAGCATAAACTTTAACAGATTATGCTAGAAATTATAGTCGATAAATGTATTATTATGTAATTGCAGGTAAAATTAAAAAGATTACTATACAAAGTAAATTACAATAAATTAAACAGGCAGTACATTAATAGTTCATAATCTTGGAATTTTGAATCTTGAAATAAATTGAACAATTTATCATACACGGTACGTAATAATATAACATATGTCAAACAGTTATAAATGGGATGATTATTTAATACAAAATTGAGTATAAAAATACATGAAATTTTGTTTGATAGTAGGTATTATGTGCATACCTGCCAACTTTCTCTCTTTCCTCGAATGAACTTTCCAAGTGGTAGTAAAACAGTTACCGAAAGACAATCGTATTCAGATACATATTTATATTACAAGCGTTTTCAAACCCATTTATAATTAGATCGAGGAAACTAAGTTTTTACATAATAATCAACGACCAAAAAATTTTTTAAATTAAGTACCTGTGTTATAACTGACCAATTGAATTCCCAAAATTAAGGGGAAGTTAAAGCTTATAAAGTTAAAGCTATTATATTCACGATAGCATTCAATAACATTTGGCATCACCTTTTTAATTTTTTTCAGCCACGATATTTTAAAGCAACNTGAAAATTAGATTTCTGAAACTACGGAAATTCCGTAGCAGTTGGAGGGTATGCCGAAAGACAATCGTATTCAGATACATATTTATATTACAAGCGTTTTCAAACTCATTTATAATTAGATCGAAGAAACTAAGTTTTTACATAATAATCAACGACCAAAAAAATGTTTAAATTAAGTATCTGTGTTATAACTGACCAATTGAATTCCTAAAATTAAGGGGAAGTTAAAGCTTATAAAATTCACGATAGCATTCAATAACATTTGGCATCACCTTTTTAATTTTTTTCAGCCACGATATTTTAAAGCAACTTAGAATGGCGATTCCCTTTTTTTGAGCTATTTAAAATGCTTGATTAGTAAGTTTAAGCCAACAATTTTATATTACTTGAAAATAATAATAATGATATTAGACGTGGTGACTCATGAATAAAGCGTTCGCCTTCCAATTAGGTGAACCGAGTTCGAACCCCAGCAATGGCTGGTGGATACGAATTCCTAACCCGGCACAGTGCTGACGTAAGCTATCCTCAGGGGTAGACGGATCATGGATTAGAGGCCGCTTGCCATCAGGTAACGGTTGGTTTTCGTGGTTTTCCTCTCCATGTAAGGCAAATGCGGGTTAGTCTCATCAAAAAGTCCTCCACGAAGGGCAATTTCTTGATCCAAGACTTACCTTGTCTTCTGAACTAAGTTCAAAATTACAAAGCTTCGGAGTTGAACATTAGTAGTTGTAAACCCGAAGAGTTGGGTCCTTTGTTCAACGGTGGTTATAAAAATAATAAAAACTACTATATTTTGTAATGCAGCATAATTTATAACTGTTAAAACTGAACAAAATTTACCAACTTTCTACTTTCGGAAACAGATTGGAGGTGGACTAATTTAATCCTGTGAAAGGAGAGACAAGATTTAACAAAATATTCTAAAGAGAAAAAAAAAAGAAAGAACGTTTCATTTGAGGCAGTTTAGATTGAGTCAGGACTGAAGTAAGTTTGGGGTAATTTCAGGTAAAAATACCTAATACGGAAGAGCAGACACATTTTAGAGCCCCAAGCACACCACTACAGTTAACCCTTTAACGGGCCCTTTATTTCTAGTAAAGGTAAATTAAAGTATTTTTGGAATTGAAATTGTTTTAAGAGCAGTAATTGTTATAAAGAAAAAACAACTCATTTAGTTTATAAAAATGCCATTTTTTTGGTGGTGAATATATTTAACATGACCTATTAGGAACTTACTGACTTTTATTTTTCTTTATTCATAAAATAAATTCCTTAAAGGCTACAAACTTCAAAAGTAATTATGTATTTTATAACTTTTATACGTTTTTTGAAAGTGACAAATGGTTACCAATTTTATTCAAACTCACTTCAAGAAAGCTGAAGTTATTGAAAAATGGAAACCTAAATAAAAAGTGGTAAAACGTGGTGGTAAGTATACTTACCACGGCCTTGAAAATAGTTTAAAAAAAAGCCAAGTCGTAATGCTGAAGTCGAAGTTGGTGACCCACTCCGTATTATATAAATTTGTGAGGTGTTAACACTAGCTCATAAAAAAAATTTTAATAACTTTTGATCCGTTAAAATTTTTTAATATTTTTGGCTAAACTATTATTTCTCCTTTTTAAATAATAGTTTATTTTAATCAATATTTTTTTCCACATTCCACGTATGGTAAAAAAATAATAAATAAAAATAAAGACATCGTTTTTTTTTCTTTCGAAGTGTTTCAGTTTTTGTATCATATTATAAATACCAAATATTTTCATATACATAAACAATATCATAACATATTGTGTACAAAAATAGATTTCTTACTTTCTGCAGAGCATTCTTAACAGCCTGTTTAACAGGGAGGGAGAAACTTCCGTCACCGTTGTCTTCCATATAATATATTTTTAAAGATTTAAGAGTAACCTGGAACAAAATGTTGCATAAATTAATCAAGAATACAAATTTAGTAGTTCCTTAAGTTATTGTGCAAAATAAGGAGAAATCATAACTAAAACAATTTTAGCTAGTTTATAGCTTTTAACATAAATTTTCAGACATGATGCTTACATTGTTACTATTTTATTACGAACCCTTTGCATTCCAAGGCTCCTCTCTCTGGCACCTTAAATTATATACCACTCTGAATATTAAAATTTTTGCAGTCAAATGTTTAGTAACCGCTTTATTTGATGGCCTACGGGTGTCATATGGTAATTGTACGAATCGTAGGAACAAAAGCCTGCTTACCTTGATTTTTAACCAAACTAGTGCAGTGAACTTTTAGGGATGGCGTCCGTTTTTTAAAAATGTAAAATGAACCTAGGAAGCATCCAATTTCATGTGCCATAAAAATGCAACTGATATATTGCCGTATATATGTGATTTATAAGCCCACTTGTCAACATGTTCGTATTTGTGGGTAAGTTTGTATCTAAATCTTTAGAGTGGTATTAAATCTATTGATTTAACATTTTATTATTGATTTACTAAATTTAATTAAGAACGATTTTAAGCACCACTACATACAAACAGTTTAAACATATATATATAAAACCAATTTATATCGCTTTTTATGCATGTGTTGCCCTTATTTCTTCTCTTTTCACATCATTTTCTCTTTTATTAACTACTAACTTAATTAATTACTTATGTTCAGCCTTACCTATCGAGTTAGCAATAACCATTTAATTACTGAGGTGGCCTCGTTGGCCGGATACTTGTAGGTACTCTTTCTTAGTTTCATCAGAGAAGTTTTTAATTGAGGGATTGATTAAGCTTACATAAATTGATTGATTGTAGCTTAAAATAATCTCGAGAACTAGGACTTCCGAGTTGGTAGTTATGGTATTGATTTTAAATAACACTTCACATTACATGATTATCTTTCCATCAACTAAATCAAAGCTTCTTAAATGTGTATGTACTAAATTAATGATAGGAAATTCAATAATGAAAACTGAATGAAGTCATAATTGTCAACGCTAAAGGAACTAAGACGGTAAATAACTTATCAAGTAGAGAAAATGAAAAAAGTGAAACTGAAAACCCTCCTCTACACTCAATATAACAAAATATATAAATTTGAACGAAATAACAATATGTTTAAGAGTGGGAAATAATATATAATAATAATGTACGGAACATCAGCGGCCCAGTTTCACATTTTTTCGTACAAGTAAAGAATTACAACATCGATATAGGATGTAATCTATCAAAATCAGATGATTACTAGCAATTTGGTGCTTATATACGTATGTTGTTGTCGTATTCTATTAAGGCCGAGGGGTGGGCTTCTTCTCGTTTGTATTTATAGAGGCGAAATCTATGGCCAAGAATCAACTTTTGCTACACACATACGTCACAGCCCTTTTTACAGGAAGGACACATTCATACTCCATCCATCCATCTGCAGATCGTAATTTTGACCTGAACCAGAGCAACATCAATCTCCGATCCATTACTTCCAGAACTCGTGATTTTTTTTAATGGGAGTTTGGAGGACTTTGTGACCCCAACAAATTCGGCGTGCATCAGTACGCCGAATATTTATACTTTATTTCTTTGGCCGGCGGGGCTCGAACTCACGATCTCTTGGACATGGGCTCAACGTCCTACCAACTAGGTTATCATATATACATATACTTATTATGTACTAATATTTAATTTCTGAGCCGTGATGGCTCAGAGGATGGAGCGTTCGCCTTCGAATGAGGTGATGTGGGTTCGAATCTCAGTGATGGCTGGTCGATCCGAATTTCGCATCCGGCGTGCAAGGACCACAATGCTGACGTAAAAATATCCTCACTGGTAGATCGATCATGAGTTAGTGTTCCCCTGCCGTCAGGCTAACCGTGGGAGGTTTCCGAGGTTTCCCTCTCCATGTAACGCAAATGCGAGTTAGTTACATCAAAAAGTCCTCCTCGAAGACAAAATTTCTCCCAATACTTGATATAGGAGTTCCCTTGTCTTCCAGATTGGGTTCAAAATTACAAGGCTACGGAGTTGAACATCAGTAGTTGTAAAGGCTAAATATTGGGTCGGATGTTCAACGACGGTCACAAAATAAAAAATTTAATTTCAAGCGTATTATATAAAGGAGGTTTAATAGAAACTTTCATTCACTTTAATAATAAAAATGGATTTAAAAAAAATTACTTTCGTTATATAACTTTGATGAGAATCGAACTTGAAAAGCAAAACAAGGAAAGAAAAAGTAGTAACAAATAATAAAATACATCCAAAAATCAATTGAAATAAATGCGCTGAATTATATTGAAACTAAACTAAACCAACTTTGAGCGAATTGACCATGTGTACTTCATCTATTTCTTTAAAAAAAAAAAAAAATTCATCCTGTTTGTTATTTTACATTAAAAACTGCATTGCTAATACTACTATTACAACTATTGGTTCTATCAATTTTGTTTTAATTTAATTAAATTCAACTCTAAAAATAAGCAGATAACAATACCTCCTTTGCCTATGTAGCAATGTCAGATGCGCAAACAGATATAAGTGCAAAACTGTACCTTTTAAATATCATACATAAATTACTTAAAACATTAGTTCCATTGGCTTAGGGTCTTGACTGAATATTTGGTCTTTTATCTGTATCTATGAATCCTTAAAATTTCGTGGTGGTTCAATTCATTTATAATTAAATGATAAAAAAAATGTTGTTTCAAATTAAATTCCTTTATATGAAATTTTTCCAGTTTTTAGCCTAAAAAATCCACAGGTCTGTTTAAGTTAATAAGGTATTATTCCAGGGATACATGATATGACGATTTACATTTTGCCGTTTTAAACTTCTCTACTCATAATATTTTCAATAGTCTAGCAACTAATCTCAATTTCTGACGTTTATAATAAAATATCAGCAAAACCAAAAAGCGATATAAAATATCAACAGAAATTGTGTTCAACAAAATTTGCAGACATCAAAAGGGAGATATTTTACTTTAATTGTTTACCGTTATTGAACAACCAGTGACTTATTGTCAATAAACCTTTATGTTCGAATTTTTTAAACACAGCGAAGAAACCAAAAGAACTGAACAAAGTATCCAGTAAACACCCATTTTAGTTAAATTAAACCAAAACCATGGAGAAGGAAACCAAGTAAACATCCAATAGTGCAAAGACAGCAAAGGAACGCAAACATAAAAACCATTTATCAACTAAGCATAACCAGTTATGACCCTCAGTTGCTGATGGGTTTCTAGGTTTAACGCTACAGAAATATTTTCTAATTCATTTGTTTGATAAAACAATAATATTGACATAAGAAATGCATCACTAGACCTTCTTATCTAGTTGTAATAAAGGAGCATTAGCTCCAGCCATAACTTGAAGCATCACTTTGAGATCGGTAGCGTATCTACACATTGGACCAGTTCCAATGTATTGCTGCAATACTTGCTCAGTTGGTGGAAAATGTCCTCGGTTTGGAATGATTCCTAGAAGAATGTAATTTGAAATCAGTTTGTTTACATTGTTTGTATAAAAAACAAATTTTGAAAATTCAAAAATGTAAAAAAAAAATACTTTAGATGATAGTTTAAGCTACCAGAGAATGATAACAATTATATTTAATCCTAAAACTGTTGCTAAGTGTGCAATTTTTTAAATAAAATGAAAGCTAAAATTTAAATATACTGTTAGCTGTAAGGATAAATTGATTAGCACTTTTGAATTTTAATAAAACGCTTTGACTTTTGATTTTGAGTATAAAAACAATTATCCTGTAATAATTACAGTTTAATTGGCTTCAGGATATGGTCTTATGTTAACTTATATCTTAAATAATAATATAAAGGTCTTATGTTATAATTTGCTAAAACTAATGAATATTAAAGTACATCACCATAAAATTTCTTTTGAAACAATTTAAAACTAATATATGTTGAACCGTTTTTAATTTTATTATCAATATAAAGATTGGGAGTATCTCCAATAAAATTTAAAACTCCAGAGAAAATTTAAAACAAGATTTCACTCTCAAATTTATTTTAGTCTTTATATAGAATAAATGAAACACCCTAAAAAATACTTTAATATGGTTGCCAACTTCTCCATTTCGGCTAATCTTTTTTTTTTCTTCCATTTTTACGTTAATATTGCTTTCTTGGTTCCAGAAATTTGACTTGCAATAATTTTAAACAATAATTCAATTTTTGCATGATTTTGAGAATTCAACTATTTACAAGGATAATATTACTGAACATATTTTAACTTAATACAAAACCTGATAATCATTCTCTTCCCACGATATTTTAAAGTGTGGGTGAGAAGTAGGAATAAATTAGAAGTAATTAATTTTGTCTACCACTACATATAAAAAATTTAGATTATTATAATAAAGGATGACTTATACTTAATAAGCAGCTAAAAAAAAAGCACAAATTAAAATAATGGGTTCTCTTGAAACTCTTACGTTAGAAGAGTGTTGCGAAATATAGTAAAAATTTTTTCAAAATAATTAATATTAAATGAAAATTACATCAATAATTTATATATATATATATACGAGTATATAGATTAGTTAAGTTAATATAATTAGCAACAGTTAAATTCAAATATTTACCTCTTGAGGGTTTGTGGCCAAACACGCCACAAAAAAATGATGGCATTCGAATACTACCGCCAATATCATTGCCAACTCCTATTACTGATCCAGCTGATGCAAGAAGAGCTGCTTCTCCTCCTGAAAACGAAATAATAATAGGTCACAAATGCTAAAAAATGAAATTAACTTTCAAATGTCTCCTGAAAAGGCACTCAAAACTGATCGAAAACTGAAACTTTTTGACTTATTACCAAGAAATATTTACATGTAATTTACATTTTAGCTTCTAGAAAGTTCTCTAAAAGTTTTAACAATAAAACATCTTAAACACATTGCATGCGAGCAACTTATCCAGAAAAATTTGTTACAGCTGGTACAGAGCAAAATTTTAAAAAAGTGGTAGGCGACCACTTTTTAAACTTTCGTATGAATCACGAAATTTCGAAAACGTATTTTTACGGCCTCGCTTGCAATGTGTTAATCTTCTACTTATTTTCAAATTGTAACAAGTATGCCAAATTCTCTAATTGAACGGTAGTCGAAACTACTTCAATCAAAAACGATTAACTACCACTTTTTCAAGTATTTCAACTTATAGCTTTACACACATTTGAAAGGAAAGAAGAACGGTAAAAAGGCGACATTTCGTTGGAACGAAATAATTGACTTTTTGAAAATCTTTAGTAGCCTATTATCACTTTTAGTTTTTTTTTTAATTTTATTACCGTCGTTGATCAGCAGGCCCAATTTTCGAGTTTAAGATTATTAATGTTCGCCTCCGTAGCCCTGTAATTTTGAACTTAAACCAGAAGACAAGGGAACTGCTGGATCAGTACCCCAAGAGATATTGATTTGTTATGGGAACTTGGAAGTCTTTGTGACCCCGAAAATTTTATAATGGCGGTTTAACGTGCACCTCTCACCATTTGATACAGGATGATTCTTCAACCGGCTGGATAAGTTAAATGTCCTACCAACCTGTCATCCTGGCCCTATCACCTTTAATTTAAAAAAAAATTCACATGGTTATAAGAAAAATATGTAAAAGATATATTAAGGTGAAAACGAACACTTAAATTCGCAAAATAAATGCAAATAATCAAGTTACCATGCTTTATCTTTAAAACAAATCTTGATGTCAAATCGGGAACAATGTCACTTAACCCTTTCCTATGCCATTAGTACCAGGCACCCTAGTGCATAATATAGACTAAGAGGTCTGGTGTGGGCAGGCACCTTACAAATTACAGATCATCGTCACTTAACCCCCTGGGGACGGGTGATTTAGAAAAGCGTTCGTACAAAATCAGGATGTAATTAAATAAAAAACGGTGACTTAAATGTAGTCGTTAACTTAAATGTATGCTGGCACGTATTTGTGACATTCGGCGCGAAAGGGTTAATCTATGCCAATAGTCCCAGCCACACACGAGAATATCAGATAAAGGAGTGAGATGACCGCATCGAGGGCAGGTACTCCGGTTCACTATCTGACTTATAAAATTCTAAACTTTATTTAACTAGTATCTTTTTATAGCTAATTTTTTTCTTCACTTTTACTAATGTAGACTGGGGTTAAATGACGAGTCCCTCCCCGCAAAAAGCGGGCACTTCACTCTTTCATCTGCAATAGAGCTCGTAAGCAGTTAAGATAATGGCAGTATAAGTAGTCAGCGTGAGAGAAATGCAGAAGCCATAGCAGACTTTAGTTTATACTGTTGTCTTGCTATCTTAGGTGTCAAATATAATTGGTGGGAGTCAAGACTTGACTTAATCTATGTTTTTGGAGAAGTTCCTGTCCGCGGACTCGGGCACCACACTTCCTCATCTGAAATTTTCTCTAGTGCAACTGGAATTAAACTGATTTGACTTGATCTGATAATTGGCAAAGTACCCTCCCGCACCAGCGGGTACCAAACTTCTAAATCTCTAATTTGTCTTGAGGCAACTGGGACTAAATGGCATAAATAGTTGGAGGAAATGGGACAACCGGGTGCTGAATTAGCATGATGTGGTGAACAGCTCAAGTAATGATTCAACTGATAGAACGTTACAAATAATTAATATCTCAGTGCACTGCAGTGTAGCGATATTAACTGGTTCAACGGTATTTAAATATCGATAATGGTGGGTAGTGTTGAGGAACTGTAGTAGGAGCGGAGAGGGGTGTTGCCTTGCACCAAAGTGAGTGGGTAACGCGAAAGCTAATTGGTCGTAACGTAATAACTAGTCATAAATTGAGAATATTAGTTTTATCACCCGACTTCCCCAAAGGATTCGAGCATCGGCCGAATTGTGATAAAGGTAAATATCACCACTTAAAATATGGTAGTATTATTATGATAGTAAAATACAAGTCAAAGAATTTTATACACCACTACGTATAAATAGTTTACAGAGATGCCAACTGCTCCGGACACACCAAAATAATTAAAAAAACGGTAGATAATTACAAAGCAAATTTTGCAAATATATGACTGTTATTGCTTGCTCTTGAAAAGGTGCAGCATGACATTAGTACAATAAAGTGGTGAATGATAAAAACCTACGAATTATTAAGAAATAGTGGTGGATAAAAATCCACCAAACAGAATTTATTAAACCAAGAATTAAAATTGATAAACTACCACTTTAATATGTATATTTGCTGTCCGGAGCAAGTTGGCATCTCTGAGTTTATACAGATATAATACGTTAAATATACTAATGGTCATTTTATTGTGCTGTGATAAAAGTCTTATAAGTTTCTAATTTTTTTTCTGCTTTATTTCTCTACACTAATATATTTTATAAGTTTTTTATGAAATATATTAGAGAAATTATATTGTGAGGCAATTGAAATTGGAAGTAACTAATCATTTCCTGCAACTCTAAGCGATAACTATTTCATTTCCTCTGTTTTTCAAATAATAGGGTTGCCGCTGGCTACTGAAAATGGAAAAAGTGCTGACTAACAAAATTCAACAATTTATTGAAAGAAATTAAAATTATCAATTTAGTTTTTTTAAAATTAATCTTCATCTTAAGCATACACCAAAAACAAACTCACAACAACAGGCTTCCCGCTGTCCTTGGAAATGTTTAGTAGTGGTAATAATTTAAGGTTAATGTTAGAATATATTTCTTATTTTAATATACCACTTTGTCGTTAAGTGGTTTAGATACAGAGATGCCAATTGCTCCGGACAAGCCAAAATAATTCGTAAAACGGTACATAACTACAAAATAAATTTTGCAAATATTTGACTATTTTTGCTTGCTTTTTAAAAGGTATCGCACGTCACGAGAACTATAAAGTGGTGAATTATATAAGCCCACGAATCTTTTAGAAATAGTGGGGGATAAAAATCTACTAAATTGAATTTATTAAACCAAGAATCACAATTGATAAATTACCACTTTAAAATATATACTTGCTGTCCGGAGCAAGTTGGCATCTCAGTTAGAAGCTCGGATTTTCATGCATATATCGTTTCTTTGGAATACAATTTTTAGTGGTGGTTACACAGAAATTAAATTATCGACATTTTATTAATTTTCGTTACCACTTTTTAAAATTTACAAGGCCCGCGGGAAACCTGAGCAAGACTAGATGTGCTCTAGTCTAAACTGATTAAAATGAAACACAATTTTTGATAACTATTGGTTAAAGATGGAAAAATTAACATTATTTTCAAAATGATTAGTAATTCTTAGGTTAAGGTGTTTAAAATTGCTAACAAACATTTGTGCCGATCACTGGTCTAGTGGTTTCTGTACTGGTTTACGGAGCCAGTGGTTGCGGGTTCGAATCCCACCGTAGGCATGGATGTAACTTTCCCTCTCTGTGTGTTCTATGTCCTTTCTCCTTTTTTTTAAATAATTTTTTATAACCGTCGTTGAACAGCTGACCCAATTTTTTATTGGTTTACGACAACTAATGTTCAACTCCGTAGCCTTGTAATTTTGAACCCAATCCAGAAGACAAGGGAACTCCTGGATCGAGTATTGGGAGAAATTTGCCTTCGTGGAGGACTTTTTAATGGAGCTCTCCCGCATTTGCGTTACATGAAGCGGAAGACCACGAGAACCTCCCACGGTTAACCTGACGGCAAGGGGACTCTAACCCATGATCCGTCTACCACTGAGGATATTTCACGTCAGCACTGTGGTCGGTGCAACCTGGATGCGGTATTCGTATCGACTGGGATTCGAACCCGCTTTGCCGCATTGGAAAACGAACGCTCTATCCCCTGAGCCATCGTTCATCTCCTTTCTTCTGTGTGAATGTGACCAGCCCTATGAACGGGTTTGTGGTTGCATGACGTGGGCGAAACTATACTACTGCCGTGGCTTAGCCACAGACTCTCACTTTGTAACGATAAGACAGTAACAATTCTAAGACTAATGGGAAATAAAGCCAAGTGCTTGTCATTAAAAAGAAGAAAAAAAACTTTATTTGTTAAATCGGGGTTCCTCTAAAAGAAATACGATCTCATTTAGGGTTCCGTATCAAAAACTGAAAACCGCTGCTTTAAATATTAAAACTTTTACTCTTTAATTTTAATAACCATTATATTTAATGGTCTTGAGATATTATATGATACATCTGTAAGCAGAGATACCGACTTGCACCACTTTGTAAAAAAAATATTTTCTTGTAACAGAATTTAAGTTATTTTTAGTTTAGTAATTTTCATTTCAAGTAATTTTTCCACCACTACATATCAAAAATTCAAATTAGATCAATCATCGGGACAAACTGGGTATTATAGATGACTTTTAGTGAAATTTAAATGAACAGTGGATAGAGAAGCACTTTTTAATGAGTTAAAAATATACTATTTTATGGAAAGCTGAAGAATTTTGTGGCGATACCGCTCGGTCAGAAAACCCCCATTTTCTTAAATATTCTAAATTACATATTACCGATTCGACATATATACTTGATAACCATGCGTAGCTTATTATTATAATTGATAACCATGCTTTATAGCTATGGCGTAGAATTTTTAAATACTGGGTAAATTAAAAAAGAAAAGAAAAAAAGAAATCTTACTTCATTTGTTACTGGAAAGTCTTTTTAACCATTAAGAATTATAAGGCTATAAGCCATACCTGCCAACTTTTGATCCGTTCCATTTTGTTTTTTCCCAGTGGTAGTAAAATAGAATTAAAATTTCAATTGCAAGCAAAATTATACGTTATGTTTTAAAAGGCTTTAGCTGACAATCGTGATAGTAACGCATATTAAAGTATATACTTAATTTTTTTAAGAATAGTGGTGATCTAAATCATTTTAAAAATAACTTTATAAAAGAAAAAAANGAGTGAGATGCCCGCTGTTCACCATCTGATTTATAAGATTCTAAACTTTATTAAACTAGCAACTTTTTATAGCTCATTTTTTTTTTCATTTTACTATTGGAGAGAGAAGACTGATAGACTTAGAGTGGGGTTGAATGACGAGTCCCTCCCCACGAAAAGTGGACACTTCACTCTTTCATCTGCAATAGAGCCCGTAAGCAGCTAAGATAATGGCAGTATAAGTGGTCAGCGTGAGAGGAATGCGGAAGCCATAGGTTTTTGGAGAAGTTCCTGCCGCGGCAGCGAGCGCCACACTCCTTCAACTGAAATTTGCCCTAGTGCAACTGGAACTAGACTGATTTGATTTGATCTGGTAATTTTCAAAGTACCTTCCCACGGTAGCAGGCACCAAACTTCTAAATCTATAATTTGCCTTGAGGCAACTGGGACTAAATGGCATAGATAGTTGGAGGAAATGGGGCAATTGGCGGCTGAATTAGCATGCTGTGGTTTACAGCTCATGTAATGATTCAACTGTATCGACTGATAGAACGTTAAAAATAATTAACTTCTCAGTGCACTGCAGCGACTATAATTAATATTTCTGTATATTTGTAAACAAATTAATATTTCTGTATATTTGTAAACAAAATTTTAACCTCCTTTCTGTTGAAACTTTAAATAATTGATTGAGGTTGACTGGAAGTAGTTGCCAGGCGCGGATTATACGGGTAAGGGTTTTACTAACCTAGGTACGTATCCGCGTCTGGAAGGAAGGAAAGGAAAGAAAAGAAAGAAAGTGCACTGCAGCGTAGCTGTACTAACTAATTCAACGGTAATTAAATATCGATAATGGTGGGTAGTGTTGAGGAACTGTAGTAGGAACGGAGAGGGGTGGTGCCTTGCACCAAAGTGAACGGGTAACGTGAAAGCTAATTGGTCGTAATGTACGAACTAGTCATAAACTGAGAATATCTGTTTTACCACCCTACTTCACCACCGGATTCGAGCATCGACCGAGTTGTGATAAAGGTAAATATCACCACTTGAAATATGGTAGTATTAATATGATAGTAAAATACAAGTCAAAGAATTTTATACACCACTACGTATAAATAGTTTATACAGATATAATACGTTAAATATACTAATGGTCATTTTACTATATGATGTGATAAAGGTCTTATAAGTTTCTAACTTTTTTTCTGCTTTATTTCTCTACACTAATATATTTTATAAGTTTTTTATGAAATATATTAGAGAAATTATGTAGTGAGGGAATTGAAATTAGTAGTAACTATTCATTTCCTGTACCTCTAAGCGGTAACTATTTCATTTCCTCTGATTTTCAATAGGGTTGCCGCGAGTGACTGAAAATGAAAGTGCTGAGTAATAAAATTCAACATTTTAGTAAAAGAAATTAAAATTATCAATTTAGTTTTTTTAAAAATTAATCTTCATCTTATGCATACATCAAAAATTTTAATGTTAGAATATATTTCTTATTTTATTATACCACTTTATCGTTAAGTGGTTTTGAAGCTCGAATTTTCATGCATATATACTTTCTTTGGAAAACAGTTTTTAGTCGTGGTTACACAGAAATTAAATTATCGACATTTTATTAATTTTCGTTACCACTTTTTAAAATTTACAAGACCCGTGGACACCTTGACCAAGACTATATGTGCTCTAGTCTAAACTGACTAAAATGAAACCTAAATTTTGATAAATATTGATAAAAGAAGAAAAGACTAACATTGTTTTCGAAATGATTAGTAATTCTTAGGTTAAGGTGTTTAAAATTGCTAACAAGCCTTTGTGTCGATCACTGGTCTAGTGGTTTCTGTACTGGTCTACGGAGCCAGTGGTTGCAGGGTTCGAATCCCACCGTAGGCATGGATGTAACTTTCTCTCTCTCCGTGTGTTCTATGTCCTTTCTTCTTTTTTTTAATATTTTTTTAATAATCGTCGTTGAACAGCCGACCCAATATTTTATGGGTTTACGACTACTAATATTCAACTCCGTAGCCTTGTAATTTTGAACCCAATCCAGAAGACAAGGGAACTCTTTGATCGAGTATTGGGAGAAATTTGCCTCCGTGGAGGACTTTTTGATGGAGCTAACCCGCATTTGCGTAACATGGAGATGAAGACCACGAGAACCACTCATGGTTAACCTGACGGCAAGGAGAACCCATGATCCGTCTACCACTGAGGATATTTCACGTCAGCACTGTGGTCGGTGCAAGCCGGATGCGGAATTCGTATCGACTGGGATTCGAACCCGCTTCGCCGCATTGGAAGTCGAACGCTCTATCCCCTGAGCCATCGCGGCTCGTGTCCTTTCTTCTGTGTGAATGTAACCTGCCTTATGAACGGGTTTGTGGTTACATGACGTGGGCGACACTGCCGTGGCTTAGCCGCAGGCCCTCACTTTGTAACGATAAGACAGTAACAATTCTGAGGCAAATGGGAAATAAAGCCAAGTGCTCGCCATTAAAAAGAAGGAAAAAAACTTTATTTGTTAAGTCTAAAAGAAATACGATCTCACTTAGGGTTCCGTATCAAAAACTGAAAACCGCTGCTTTAAATGTTGCAATTTTTGCATCTTAATTTTAATAACATCTGTATTGAATGGCCTCCAGATATTATATGATACATCTGTAAGCAGAGATGCCGACTCGCTCCGCTTTGTAAAAAAAAATATTTTCTTGTAACAGAATTTAAGTTATTTTTAGTTTAGTAATTTTCATTCCAAGTAATTTTTCCACCACTGCATATCAAAAATTCAAATTACATCTACCATTGGGACAAACTGGCCATTATGGAAGACTTTTAGTGAAATTTAAATGAACAGTGGATAGAGAGGCACTTTTTAATGAGTTAAAAATTTGCTATTTTGTGGAAAGAAGAAGAATTTTGTGGCGATACCGTTAGGTCAGAAAACCCCCATTTTCTTAAATATTCTAAATCACATATTGCCAATTCGACATATATACTTGATAACCATGCGTAGCTTATTGATAACCATGCTTTATAACTATAGCGTAGAATTTTAAATACTGGGTAAATTAAAAAAGAAAAGAAAAAAAAGAAATCTTACTTCATTTGTTACTGGAAAGTCTTTTTAACCATTAAGAATAATAAGGTTATAAGCTAAGAAAATAGAAGCTATCTATAAATAATACAAGTAAAAGAGTGATTTACTGTTTTCAAATTACCACTGCTTCCTCCAGCTGTTTTCTTAAGATCGTATGGATTATTAGTTCGTCCATATAGATTATTATAAGTTTCCATCCAAAAACACTGTTCACTTGTATTTGTCACAACTATTGGAATAGCGCCAGCTTTTCGCAATAGGGTTATTACGTCTGCGTCTTCTTTTGCTCTGATTCCACGCCTTCTAACAACGCCTGTCGTAAAAAGCATACCTGTAAATAAAAACAATAAAAGAAAAATTTAACGAAGAAATACTTATATATAGTTTGAATACATAAGATCCCCTCTACAGAGGATCAAAATTGAGATGGCATGTCTTCGGAATATCCTAAGAGATGTTTCCCAGACCGTCGTCAATAGCTCATTGGGCAACTCTTGCGCGACGTAAATTAAGTTCCAACTTATCTTCCTTGAATACATTAGAAATTATAAAAGTGCTGGAAATGGTACTTTATTTTAATTTATAACCCAACGGGAGGGGGGGCATTGCTGCATTCATTGCGCTGTATTCCTTACATCATAAATAAGGAAAAGCTTAGACAACGTGACATTTAAAAAATTGAAAAAAAAAGAGTGTCACAAAGAAATATTATTACAATATGGCATAAATTTAGCATCCCATAATCAAAAAATATAGTTATTATTATTAATTTTTTTTTTTGGTTATTAAAAGTATCTCGCGTTTCCGTATGAAACGTCATATGAAACAAATCATGAACCTATCAGTCTTGTTCTATACTTCGGTGATCCTCGAAACTTGGATTCGACTTATCCTGGTCTATCTCCAGAAGTTGCAATGGATGCGACAAGACCTTGACCCCACACCTCTAATGGAAGTTCTTACAAATGCGTGTCACCCAGGTATTATTTAAAGAACAAGAGCTGTCTTCCATGTTTGTCAAGCACGAAGTTCTGCCGGGAGATCAGTACTATACCCCCCTCTTTTATCTTAAATAGTTTCTTTGTGTTTCTAACTTCATGATAGCTTTTCAAATCTAATAATATTCTTTTGACCATCTACGCCAAAATTAATCTAATAGAGCTTGTTGATATTTCCAAACATTAGATAGTGGTACTTGCCTCAGTCTAAAGTAAGTTGAAAACGAATTTAATTTTTGACCTACGCTAAAATGCGTTAGTTGCAAGGTTTCAATTCCGTATTGGTGTGTTAGATGTCGAATGTAATTGACCGCTTCAATTCCGACCAGAGCTGTGATTAAATTCTCTTTCTACAAATTATGATTGCTTTGCACAAACATCTTTTTACAGTTTTTACCCTTCTTTCCTACTAGCCTCCCCACCCGAAAAAACAGTCTCTATCTATAAAACACTATCTGAAGCTCATCATCCTTATCTTGTCCGATACTCATGTGATCCTCTATGTTATCGATACCATATATGTTATCTGTTGGGAGATGTTATCCCTTATAGTCGATAAACTTTTAGTTGTCTGTTTTGAAAATATCTGAAAAGTATTTCAAGTCTATATTCAAAAAATTAAAAACATAGTGTGTTTACTTGTTACTTAATATCTGGGGAAATTTTTGAATTAAAAATTGTTGATCCCATAAAGGATAAAAAGTGAAAATTTTGAAGTCTAGATTGAAGGCTTTTGTTTTCAAAAATGTTTATTAATTCATGTATGATGTGTTAGGCTGAGAAGAAGATATTTAAAGGTAGTAATACAACTTTTTCCCTTAGCAATTTCACCCCACCATTGCAGTACAGAAATTAAGATGTTAATGGATTAATTCAATCACAACGGAATTTCCGTAGTTGCAGAAAATATGTTATGGTAATATAATTAATAAATTAAAATTAAACGAATTTTGTTCACCACGATTTGCAAATAGTAAAAACAGATATAAAAAAAGTAAATTAAACCAATGCTCTATCTGACCTTATCTAATTTCATTATGAAGAATGTCTTCATTATGAAGTAAGGTTTGAAATTTAATTTTTGAAGGTTGCTCCACTAGGCACAGACCACAATGAGGGATTAATCCTTTATATATGTTAAAAGGTGGATTTGGCGGTGTTTGGAAAGGCCAAAAGAAATGCAATCTGTAGTTGTAGATTTGGTGAGATTCGGTGGGTTAATTCTTTTCAGACATTTTTTATTTCCATTTTGGAATTCCATGGTGTAATTTAGCGGTTGACCTTGAGATTTGTAAATTCATGAGCTTAAATATGGATTATAGATTTTTTTTCATGGTATGTTTATGCATTTGCCATTTTCAGGTTACGATTTTTGATGATGTTCTTGCTTACGCCAATTATTTTCGACAATCATAAAAACGTCAGTTTGGTGTTGGCAACAGTTTGGCGACAAACGTCAGAGTGTCGTTTTGGGGTTAGCGACACTATTCAAAATCGCGCAAAGCTAATAACATATACTAGGATTTTGTCGAAATGGGCATTAAATTTGAAAGTCTTGGGAGATGCAAAGTATTACTGATAAGAATAAAAATAGGTTCGAGCATGCATTAGCTGCTCATTTTAATCAGCAAATAGAAAAGTTCAATCAAATATTTGGAATTTAACTGAGAAATTTAAAAAATTACGATACCTTTCACACATATTGCTTCCTTAACACTCAACGGAACTCCTAGTAATGGCATTTCTGTTTCTAGTTCCTCCATAGTTTTTTCTCCCGAAAACACCAGATCATCGATAAGGCTAGCCTCTTGGAGAGCCTCAGTGTTTCTGTCATCAACTATAGAATTTATCAATGGGTTCACTTCATCCATCCTCTGAATGTAAGCTCTTACCACATTTACACAGCTTACCTGAAATGGGTATAATGGTATAACAAGATGATTTATAAATGTGTGTAAAATTTCTTTTGAAAATAGAGAAATACCTAAAAGGAGAAATTAACATTAAAGGATCTAAACTTCAAACCATTCTTTAGCTCATACTTGCACCATGTTTTCGAGATTACAGATACCCTCCATATTTTAAAAATCCGAATCTGGTAAAAGAAAAAACAAGTATGTTTATTTAGAGAAAGTACTTTTCTGAGTGTGATTTCGTAATTCAAAATATCGTTTGCACTAAGCAATCTACATATTTAACAAGGTTTTTCAAAGCTCTTTCACCCAGGAAAATTTAAAAAAAAAAAAAAGTCATAGTTTAAGTACCTTGCATTTGAAGCTTGCTAGCTCAAAGCTCAATTTTTAACTGTATATGCCATCTTGCTCTAAAGAATTATCTAGGGTTTAGAAAGGACAAATAACTAAAATATTTTTAAGTTATTAAACTCTTTTAAAAACTGCCAACAACTGCTCTGGACAATAACTGCTCTTTTCTAATTGCCATTTATATTTCACCAAATGCAGCCATGAGGGATATTAAATTATTTATTGCAAAATCTTTATAGCCATTATCCACTGCAGGTTCACAAGCTCTGGCAGACGTTACTGGTGAAGAAATTGGTTATTGTGAACGGCCTGTGATCCTTGCAGGAGATTTTAATGTGAATTTCTCGTTACCTGAAGCTGAAACATTATTAACCTTCCTTAAAGACAAATTTGGATTGGAAATGATAAATGGTAGGAATGATCCAACAACCAAAGGGGGAACAACCATTCATGCAGTTTTTGCAAGAAATATTGAAAAAATAGAACTCAAACATTTCGTATCATACTTTAGTTATCACAATCCCATTGTTAATGTTATAGATTTGGATATTTTTCCACTCGAAAATGATAATTAGAAGTTGCGATCAATTGTGAATTGTAAGCATTGCTAATGAAATTCGTCTTAAAGAAACAAAATGATTTCACTAAAAATCAATTTCTACCCCTTCCTATTTTCATTTCCACATTACGAAGTTCCACTTCTTACGCCCGGAGGGACTCCACGCACTACTTTTTTTTTGCAACATTTCTTAATAAAGATCAGCGATGAGTTCCACCATTAAAGACATTGAACTCTTACTGTCCAGATCTCGGGTTCGAACCACGTTGGCCTCTTGAAATCCATCCAGCTTTAAATGAATGGGCAAATCTGAGAAGGAATGACGATTGCTACCACAATCAAAGATGGGTGATCGTGAAGTTGGGGAGCCTTGGTCCACAATGGCTGTTGCAGGAAAGCTTATTTTACTATTTACTTGAGGAGCCTCGGGGGACCCTTCATGTCCGATTTTATTTTGAAAATAAGGGTATGCTTTATTTTTTCCCTTTGAGCAAAAAGTCTTACTTCGGTTTTTTTAAATAAAAAAAAAATAAAAATACTAATAAAGTGCCAATACCTGTAGCGTTTGAATTACATTATTTGAATCAATTTGTCTATTGATTTTAACTTTTAATAGTTATGGACTAGGTTGAGAACAAAAATTTTTTTAAATTATCTTTGCAATATAGAATCACTGTTATCAAAACATAGGCGTGTTTTACTCATAGCAAGGAAAGTATTACACTGAAATTATAGTGAACTTGAACTTAATTCGTATACAGTGTACCAGCCCGCGAAGCGGACACTTCACACTTTCATCTGCGGTTGAGCCCGCAACACAAGGAATGATTCATCACAAGGCACACACAAGGCCGCGGGCACAAGGAATGATGGCGTTGTTTGTGGATAATGGCGGTGAATTGCAAAAGCGGTTGCATACTAAATCTGCATTTAATCTATACGCTTGAAAAACTGTATTTAGGGTGTTTGTCACTTCTGGGTTGGGGATCATTCTTTTGATCCTTTCCCTGAAGTGGCCTAATTAGATCTGGAGTAGAAATAAAACTTTAAGTAAAGAGCTAGGGGTGGATATATCTCCGAGTCGGGGATCACCCTTGGTCATTTCCTCTCACATGAAATTATAGTTTAAAATTATATGTAAGTACTTAGAAATAACTTTTTTATTTAGACTGGCGAAGGGAACAATTCCGTTTATAATCTATCGTTTTGAATTTATAGTTCTCTAAACATATCAATGTGGATATGTATTTTTTTAGATGTTTAAGGAGATTTTAAAATATATGAGGAGAATATGTTAAAAAAAATATGTGCATTCCAGCGGAGAAAATGCTCTGGGCATCTTAAGGTGGCGTACCTCTGTGTCTGTAGTCGGCATATTGCCAGTTTTAAGTTAGTCAAATTACGAAACCTTTGGACTACTCCATTATTAAGAAATTTCATGACTATAGTCTTTAAATATCAATTTACCGCGATGAATTCATACTTTTTTCATCAAAACACGATACAATAGCCCTTATCAACTTGTTAAGATTGCATTTCCAAACCACCATTGCAATTCTTGTGTTCTATGTGTTTTTCTAGAAATTTAATCCTCTTTATGTTTTGTATCATTCTGTATAATTAGGGTGATGAAGGTTGAACACTATTTTACGACAAAATCACATAGTACATAAGAAAAAGAAAATAAAAATGTTGAATTTCACGATTTTTCTTAATTGCAGTAAAATTAAAAGACAAAAAACATGATTTTTACCATTAGTCATGTAGTTTAAACATGGTTCAAAACATTTATATTATCACTTTTAATTAACTGGATTAATATCTATCTTGCACAATTATGCAGATTTGGTCTTATAATGTTATTAAGAGACCGTGTGTTTAATAATTTTGTAATTTTGTAATAATTCTGCAATTTTCTTAAAAATAAAACGAGTTTAATGGATAAACTCTCGCGTTTTTAATAAGTTTTTTTATAAAATCAAAGCTCTAAGTAGTAATATATGATAAAAAAATACCTTCTAAAATTGTACAGTAAAATATCTTAAGAATTTACAAAATAATAAATAGCAAAATTCTTAAGAATTTATGTATAGTAAAAACAAGTTTTCAATTTAAATATGATTCTTATATGACTTTTACAAACTCATGTAGTAACAAAATAATCGCATTTTTAATTAGTTTCTAGTCAAAGGTCTAAGTAGTAATATCTTTAAAAACATAGTAAAATCTAGCAAAAATACATAGTATTCACGTACAAAAAAAAAGTTTTCAATATCAATTTGATATTTTTCAAACCATAATTGTTAGCTTAAACATTTCAAAAGATTTAGAAAAATCCATGGTTCAATCTTTTAAAATTTTAATTTTGTTCTTGCGTTATAGGATACATATTCGTATTAAAAAATACATCTGTTTCTGAAGTTATTATAGCTTTTGTACTCAAATAATATTTTTTAATCAAAATTAAAATTTCTATTTTATAAAAACCTCTTAAACTAATTATTGATAAAATTTACAACATATGCAATAATTCAATTAAATAAAAAAAGTAAAACATACCTGCCGGGTTCTAATTTTGGTTGCCAAATTAATAGCAGAATCCAATAATAATGGATTTTTTACAGGAGGCAGAGTAGAAGATTTTCTTCCGAATCCATAAGTGAAGTTAAATACTTTATCCATAAAATATCCAGTAAACCACCGGTAAAAAAACATTGCTACGGAAATAAATAATTTTTTTGGTGACCTAACATATTTCATAAATTTGGCGATATAGTAAGACATAATAAACAAGTAATAACTATCAATATTAACGATATTCACAGACATGCGGAATAAGCAGACGATTCCGTAAAGTTTTCAAATATGTTGTTTTCATCACGTGGCATCCGTCATGCCTCGCAGCTTTAGGTCAAAGGACCGAAAATGAAACAAAACTATGATGGGGATCGTGTCCATATTTCCTAAATGCATACTGATAAATCTTAATTTTTCACCTAAATTTTTATGTGTTCTCTCACTAAATGAGTTGATAATTTTTAATTAAATATAAAAAATAATTTTTAATTAATGAAGTTATAAAAAGATAATTTTTAATTAGGTATGAGGAATGATATCACCATTTTATGCTTTCCCATTGGAAAGAAATATACGATATGACCATTAATGAACAAAGAAGTTGTATTGGTATAAAAAATGGTGTCCTCTTTTTCCATGCAAAACTCGCATTGACTAAAATGAGCGTAGGAAGTTAAAATGCTTATTTTCCTTTTCTCATGCTTTAATAAATAAAAAAAAGCATTCTACTATAAATTTCGCCAACTAAGTATTAAAGCTAAAGTATTTTTAGCTTTAATACCCTACTGGTATTAAAGCTAAAAAGAAGTTATTAACTTCCTCTCCTCGATTTGGTCGATCAAAATTGTGTATGGGTAAAAATCGCATAATTTCTACAAGTTTCAACCATGATCTTTCAAATAGTGCCAACAGTTTCGCCATGTAAAATCTTCTGAAACATTTGTTGATAAAATAAAGATTGTTTCCAAAGAGTTGGTATAAAAGTGTTTCCATAATTTTACCCAACCCATGTAGGTCAGTGCATTATACGGATATACGTTAGTGCATTATACAGATAGACATTAGTTCATAATGCGGATAGACGTTAGTGCATTATGCGGATATGTTACTAATTGAAGTAACTTCGCACAGTTGAAACAGATGTGGCTAAAGTTCTTAGGAAGAATGCCACTATCTGAATATTATTATTATTACTACTATTAATAATAATAATTATGCATGCCACCTTCATCTTGTCTATAAATTATTAAAAGATGATGAATTCTTATTTATAGGCTGATAATAGAATTTTGACATACATTGCACATTTTTCCATAAAAGTCTGAATAGTGGAGATTTAAAAAATAATTTTAATAATAATACTAACTTAGTTAGTAACTTAATTTATAAAATTATGGGATTTTTGTGATTTCCCTTAATATAATATTTTCATATGGATTTGATAACGAATTTATGTGACCCCAAATGATTAAAAAGTGCTGAATTCATCTAGGAAACATTGTAATTATCATTAATATAATGCAATCGGATGAATTTAAAAACAAATTTACATGACCACAATTGATTTAAAATGCGCCGAATTCATCTAGGAAACATTGTAATTATCCTTAATATAATGCAACCGGGTGAATTTAAAAACAAATTTCCATGACCACAATTGATTAAAATGTGCTGAATTCATCTAGGAAAAATTGTTATTATCCTTAATATAATGCAGCCGGATGAATTTAAAAACAAATTTACGTAACCGCAAATGATTAAAATGTGCTGAATTCATCTAGGAAACATTGTAATTATCCTTAATATAATGCAACCGGATGAATTTAAGAACAAATTTACATGACCACAATTGATTTAAAATGTGCTGAATTCATCTAGGAAACATTGTAATTATCCTTAATATAATGCAACCGGATGAATTTAAAAACAAATTTACATGACCACAATTGTTTTTAAATGTGCCGAATTCATCTAGGAAACATTGTAATTATCCTTAATATAATGCAACCGGATGAATTTAAGAACAAATTTACATGACCACAATTGATTAAAATGTGCTGAATTCATCTAGGAAACATTGTAATTATCCTTAATATAATGCAACCGGATGAATTTAAGAACAAATTTACATGATCACAATTGATTAAAATGTGCTGAATTCCTTGTAGAAACATTGTTATTATACTTTATACATCAATGAATTTAACAATAAATTTAGTTAGCCGCAAACGATGGCATACAAAATTTTAAATCTACTTCAAATTTCTTAACCAAAAGAAAAATTACCTGGGTTTGTAAAACCTACTGTAAACTTCACATGGAAAAAAGAACCAGATCTTAATAAATGGGATCTGAATCTTAATCTTTGCCCAGTTATTAAGATTTGGAAAAAGATTAAGATTCAGGAGACCAGAATCTGAGTACATATTGGGAAGAAATAAATATGAAATATTTTTGCTCGTGCAGTAGTCATGTAATATCATTAAAGTCCAAATCTCTCTCTCTCTCTTTTTTTTCTTGCTACTTTTGATAATAAGTTAAACGTGAGCTTATGAAAATGAATATATATATATATATATTTCATAAACTTACGTTTCACTTATTGTCAGACGTTATATATATATAATAAGTTTATTTTCCGAACAGCGTAGGATAAAGGATAGTTGTTAATGACAAATAGTGAGAAAAACAATTCGCGGAAGAATGCATTGGAAATTGTAATAACTTTTAAGCAGATTGAAAATTCGAAAATTAAAAAAAAAAAAAAAATCTGGGCGTCATATTCAACAACTAAACTCGTCCTTTGAGCACATTTAATTTTAGCTCTGCAAGTAAGTGTTACAGTTTTCGAACAGCAAAACAAAATGTTTCAAAGTTGAACAAATAAAACAGTGTTGGCCGCAATTACGATTTCTGAATTGAGAGAGACTATAAATTATACTACTGAAAAGAATTAACGCTGCATAAAAACAGATAAATATTTCACTTGAATTCTACTTGATGCTTCCGGCTCGTTCTGACCACAATGAGTGCTGGAGCGAAATAGCCTCAGTAGACGTATCACATGGCTTGGAATCCCCTTGCCGTCGGGCTAACTGTGGGTGTTCTTCCATTAAGTCCTCCATGAAGGCTGGTTTGTCCCATTGCTTGATCCAGGAGATCCCTTGTCATTTAGGTAGGGTTCAAAATAACAAGGCTACGAGGTTGAAAAATAACAGTCGTAAACTCGAAAAAAATAGATCGACTGTTCCACACCGGTTATAAAATTAAAATAAAAGCAAGGAAATGTTATTTCACTCTTTAAAAGCATTAATTTAATTACATTTTCTCGCTAAAATAATATTTTTGACTGTGCTACGTCTTATTAAGTCTTAACATTTGAATATTATTATAATTTTTCATCTCTTTATATTCCATCCATATTCTTCCTAGTTTTACACATTAAAATTTTAGTTATAGAAGGTTCAGAATTGAAGGCCAAGACTCATTATTTCTACCTTTAGATGTATTTGGAGTTTAGCTTTATCTTTACATGAATTTTGAGTGTAACTTTACCTTTACATGAATTTGGACTATAGCTTATTATGGCGTATTGCATACTATACATCGCTGACTGAACCATTAAAACAAGCAAGTATTAATCATGAATTCTCCATTTGGTACAAAACATAATTATTATTTATGAGGATGATGATTATGATTGCAAAGCGATTTTTTAAGCTTGTCCTTCTTGAATTAGGACCATTGCTCCTTTAGTTTTGCTTTTCAATACATAGCTTATAATTTTACTTCAATTAGTACCAGTTACCAAAATTAATTGAGAATCATTGGCGTCAAAAATATTAGTATGGTGAGTTTTTATTTTTCTCCCAGGCAAAACGAATTAGTACAATTTTCCAAGCAATTTTGCTTATTTTTCTTTTTATTTAATTACTTTTTTATTTAAAAAATGTTTTCAAAAAAAAAATCAGTCATCTTTGGAGTCAATAACAGCGTGGAGATTTTCTGAGCTTCTACTAAATCAATTAGTATCATTTTACCATTAAATTTGATTTTTAGTACATAGAGCATTTTTTCTTATTTCAATTAGTGCGTATTACTATTTACATATTTTTGATTTAAAAAAAAGTTAAAGTTAGATGCCTGTAGTTCGATAAAAGAAAATTGCAAAAATATTAAATATAAATCTTTTGTCGGAGGAAATTTTTAATAAATTAACAGCGTGGTTAATGTATCGAATAAAATCGAATCATGTAGCTCATCGAATACATGGAACAATAAAAAAGTCTTTTTTGGTTTTGTTTCATAACTATATGTAAAAAAAATTTCAAAGGCTCGTAAAAAAAAAAATTATGTTGAAAAGTGAGCAGTGAGTCAAAAAAGGATTGGAACTTAAGAACTGAAATGTTTATAGGAAAAAGTTTAAAAGATTTTTACAGTTTCCTAACAAAACAATCAAAAGTCATCCAAAATGTTCAACTGATTTAAAGCTTTATGTAACAGTTAAATTAAATTATTATTTTTGGTGCGTATAAAATTATTTATGAATTATAATTAATAGATTGAAATATTTGGTATATGTACTAGTAATTGGATATAGTCATGATTAAAAATAGTTAAATGTTTGAAACGTCGTGATAAATAAAATTAAGGCCGAAAATATATATAGGTAATTAAATTAAATTAAGGGGGATGTGATCGTTAAGGAAAGTGGTTGTACAATGCAATTGTGGGATAACAATAACCCAATAGGTTCAAAGGGTCACAAAGTGTGAGGTTTGAACAAAATTGGATGATTTGGTATCACCAAATTTGGAAAAAGGGCGAAACTAAAATAAATTAAATATTAAAGATAAATAAGGTAAAGTCATGCTATATCCAAAATATATATATGATTTAATACAGTAAGCTGATGTTTCCAATAAGAAAAACTAATAAATTCACATATATGCATGCCCATAACAATAAAAAAAGTACTCACCACATACAGAAGGAAAAAAGGCGATAAATAATAGCTATAAAGGTAAAGCTAAAAATCACACAAAACTTTCTGTTCAACTAAACATTTATTTTTGTAAAACTACTTATTTTGATTATTGCGTAACAAACAAGCAATATGATTCCAACACATTTTGT